AATGCGTCGTGGGCAGTCACTAGTAAAATACCAATACAGCAGAGGGCAGATTAAAATTCTAGTATCACCTATACTGATAGTATATACCCGTAGTTCCCGTTTCGTCCTTAAGGCGTTACCCCAGAGCTGATATTGCGCCACATACTTGACCACAACTCTGCCGGTAGAAAGACTTAGTTTAAAAGAAATGTATAGTTTGATTCAGTGAAAGGTATTCTTAACTCGACGTCTCAGCCATCGAAACATTCCTTTCTTTCTTATAAGGTAGGGTGCGAAACGGGCGTTCTTCCCGTTCATAAGTGATAACGGTCATTTATACACAGCACTCTTGTCTTGTATTAACTGATGTTTGAGCTTTCAGTCCCGAAACTATTAAAGCTTCATCTGACGCAGAACCGGTGGGCTAGCCAGGACCCACGGGTTTGGGCCCTCCGCTGTGGGTAGGGCCGTGCGTGTGCGTTCCTTTAAGTACGGCAAGTCATCTAAGACACACAGCACTCGTATGCCCCGTTGCTGACGTTAGAGTTAACTCGCTTGTGAACGCGATACAATAAACTACATCGAGGTTGCCCATTGTACCTATCATTTATACATTAAGTTTTTGGTTCTTGTTTATTTTATTTTGATGTGCATAAAGAATGTGTATAAAGGATATTAATTTAATCGTTCATACATCCCGTCCCCTGATGGTAAGCGATCACCGCCGCCCATGGACACTTGCAAAATTGATTGAATAACAATTGCGTTGAAGGCCTTTAAGGTAGGAGTAGGCTCATTTCTTGAAAGTCCCTAAGTCGTATCAGTCCAGAAATACCTCTGGCGACAACTCGTTCCACAAAGTAGCTGTACGGGGCAGAAAACTGTTTTTTAAATCGGTTTCACTAACTGCGAGAGAATATCTCAGTAATACATTCGTTTATTGTCTTTATAACATTATTGTACCAATAATGCATTATTTCGTTTTATACATTATTGATGTAATAAATTGTATTTATTATTTGATGATGGTAAGACAACATTGTATCAAAAAGTAGTACCTATTTCAATGTGAAACAGTTCTAGTACATTTACCATTATTGTACATTTATCATCAGCAAATATTTGACCAGTGAATAAAATATTTTATTCTCTTGAAGCTTATGAATAAAGTCGTATCTATTAAACAAATGGGATTCAATGAACTCTGACATATCAAAAGAAATACCCAGTCCGTTGATGTATAAGAAAATGGGGTGATTAATGGCGTCTTTAGTGCACATAAATCATTTATAGTTCATAACTCAAGCTTACTGGATTCCACTACGAGGTCACACTTTTCCCTACGAACCTTGCAAAATCATTAACATTCACAGTGCAAGGAATGTTTTTATGAATAAATTATTCATCAAATCTTTTCGAATGGCATTTTCACTGAATACACTATAAAATTTTTCTTGTCAAAGGCACTAAGATGTCTTAAAAAGACATCTGAATATTGAATTATCTGCTGCCCAATTTTTATATTTTTGGACGTAATCAATGCAGACAAAAGATCCGTGACATCTCTCTTACTCCAAATCATTCAATGAAATAATTTATGAAGAGACTTACAAAATTCAGATTCATCTAATTAAAAATTATAATTCTTAAGTGTACACTAAGATCAAATAACGAAACGTACGAACCGGACGGCCTTTGTGTCACTTTCACTTTGGTATAAAATATAATCAATCAGATACGAAGCAACAGCAGGAGAAACAAGTCATTGATCATCGTTTATTATATTTGCTATTATACTAATGTAAATAATTGTCAAGCGCACTGTAATTTTGCCGACGCTGACGGACATCTAGAACCTGAGGGTTGGCAGACGGGTTGACAACCTTATAAAAACAGTAATACCCAATTACCTCACTCACCAGACGAAAGACGAAAGTATAATACTTCGCAGCCGTCTTCTGGATCGTGGTACTTTCTCGAACGAGACTGCCTATTCGTGCAAACGAAGAAGCTGACCCTAAACCTATTAAAAATAATATTTTAATCGAAAACTGCCTTTAACCATCCCACTCGATATTAAGTAGCGAGAGAAAGGTGAAATTACCATTCGAGATGGATTTAGAACAGATCTTATATCGTGGTGTCTAACGTCTTTGATATATTCAAGGCAACGGTGATCAATACGATTGCCACATATCATAACCGAAGTTATTTATTTAGTAAACATTATTTATTATAAAGGCAATAAAGATAGCCAATGCTGCAGCAAGGACGCAGAAACGAGAGCAGGCGCCGTTATCATCTGGGAGCGTCGTGTATGACGCACGTTGCGACTTAAAAAATAGTCGCAGACTTTATAATGGGCATACGATGCCGTAAATATATTACCACAAGCTAAGTAGGTAAGGTTTAGGTAATATATGAGGTTGTTTATTTATAATAACATTCAACCGCGCAACACACGGAACATGTGATATTTTATACATTATTTTATGTTTTTAGGAAATTAAAATAAAATAATGTCAAACGGATGACTCATGCAATGCGAAGATAATCTAAAATCTATTCATCCATTTAACTCCTTTGGATAGTCAGATAAACTGTTTTATATTCGTCTATAATAATAAAAATATCCTAAATATCGTTAATTAAACTGTAAAATCGAACGAAATTTAAGCCAGAATATTTTATGTGCACGTTCGTATTAACAAAGACAATGATTAGTTCCGTACCATTATCTGTAAAAACGGCAAGAAAATTATGTCTGTTGTACGGAAGCTCCACTTAAATATTTTTTTATTTGTTTTTGAGTATCTGTAGTTAGCGGCAGTAAAAATACATCATCTGTGAAAATTTCAACTGTCTAACTATCACGGTTCATGAGATACAGCATGGTGACAGACGTACAGACGGACAGACACACTGCGGAGTCTTAAATAGGGTCCGGTTTTACCCTTTGGGTACGGAACCTTAACAAGAAGTTTCTACACGAAAATATCTAAGTTTTACGGTTTGCAGTGTTCTTATGAATTTGTTGGTCGTTAGAGAAATGTTATCGTACAATGATGTTAATTTAAAATCAACATAAACATTTTCTAGATATCCCTTTAAAGTTATTTGAAAGCCACTTGTGATTAATTATCTTGACAAGAAGAGCATTTACCTAGGAGTAAGACATTATCTACCAAAGAAACAAGTTTTAATAATCCCGCCTAGGGTAATAAAATACTAAATACGAATACGAAGAAAAAGAAAACATAGCTAAGCAACTTACCATGCGCCCTATGATTGAAATATAATGGTGCTGTTAACTCGTTTAAAAGATTCTATATTAAAATCATATATTTTTATGGTATAAAGAACGGTAAATCCGTTTGCTATTATTTGCAAAAGCGTTCCCATCTTCGATTACATTGGTTCAGTGGGAGCTCTAATAGTATTCTGAAAGCAATATCAAACAAGAGAATGTCCCATACTCTGCCATACGATGCTCAAACACTTACTCGACACCATAAGATGTGAAAAATAATATAAATAAATGAATTTTGAATATGATTACTTCCTAACATACATTCAGCGACATTGATTGAGTTATAGATTTCGGATTTATTCCATTTCATCTAAGCCCAATAAAGATAACTTAATTTTTATTTATTATTATTAAGTTATTGGTATTAAATAAAATGGAGTAAAAATTACTATGAACAAAGGTCATCATAATAGAAAGAAAAAGTTATTTGAATTAACTATTTGCAAATAACGATTCGGTCACATGTAGGACGAACGCTGAAATAATTCCTCCTGCAACCTTTTCTAAAAATCGCTTCCGTCACCAACGACCCTGCAATTTTTCCTCACTTCCGACAGTTCGTATTTCAAGTATCTTCTTTTCGTTATAATTCAATGGTGTGTGACTGAGTAATTTGATATTCTGTAGTTACGTTATTAAAAATGGTTTAAAATAATTTAAATGAAAAAGAAGCGCAGACGACAAGAAAAACCAGGGTACGTTAGAAGCATAACTTGCAGCAATATTAATTGTTTATAATCCAGACTAAATTACAAATTATTACAGATTTTTTTAACGGGTTAACCCGGAAGATAAAGTCCGTTTGCTCTCTTGTTGTTGTCATGTACTTCTGCAATAACGCTTGCTTGTCCTGCGGTCATATTGTAGTTTAATTATACCTCTTTTTGTATTTGAATACGTTTATTTCATTGTTCGATATAACTTGACTCGTGCACAAATAAATTTTTCATTTTTAAAGTTAATTGAAAATTACTGTATCCGATATCTTGGTACATGAAAACATTCTGTTGCCAAAAAATGCTCTATCGTTTTTATAAAGCACCATCGATAAATGCTGATAGTAATAAATGCGTGAGAAATGCGATAAAATTATCTCTGACAGATAACAATGATAAAATAATTTTTCACAGGGAGTTTATTGTTGAAATCTCAAGTGGAAATGCCGGTCATTGGGACCGAAAAGAAACGCCCGGCTTTGCAACGTGAATTCTACAGCATTAAAATAAAAAAAAGCAAATGGCCTTGTTTTGTACGCGCTACTATGCGCTGTAACACTAGATAACACTGTGAAACTTCAATAGATGACAGTCACCGAGACAGAGAGGCGACTAAATCGACAAAAAAAAATTAGACAATCAAATTTTACGTCTGCCAAAGGCTTGATTTCTTCCAAAAGCGAGTTTCACATTTAGCGAGCCTACTAAGACTGTTTGACATCGTGTTCGAAATAAATGAATCAATTTGATAAAGAATTGACTATATTAATTTTATTTAAATAGAAAAACGGGAAAATATGCTAAGACCAGGATTATCTCCGTCATATCTCCGTCAATGAATAACAATAATTAGGTAAACAATAATGATGCAAACCGTTGATAAAAAAAGAGTCAACAGCCGTGACGATCTCCGTGGCAAAAAACACTCGAGATCCTTCGGTTTTTGCAACACTAGCACTGTTAAACTTGGTGTGTCCCAAGTGTTTAAACACTGAATGTTTGATTTTCACACTGTGCTCACTAAACCAACCGTGGGCTTCTGTCGTGGCGTGTGCAATTGTTTCACCACAATCGCGGATATTGGCGGCGCGACGCGAGCGGCCCCACCGGACGGCCGTGAGCGACTGGCCCGACGCATGCGTATTCAGCGACGCGTCGCTTCGGCGAAAGCAGCACTCGGGCGCACGTCAACACTAGGTGATTTCCACAAGGCGGGCATATCTATTTACTAAGCGCTGTCCCGCTGCATTTGGAAAATGCGAAAGGCTTTCTACACCACGGTCAGTTTCACCGATCAGTTCAGATTTCGTTCCACGGAAGAATGCGCATCGGAAGCCTAATTAACAATGTTAACAATAATAATTCACAGGATGTGTTGAGATGAATTATTTTGTGGAGCCATGTGTTATCCTGTTCGGTTATTAATCTGCGAAGTCTTACGTGTACATCGCCATCTGGCGTTCGGTACACGTCCATATGCGTCCGTGCGTCAGTCTGAACAAACGATCTGAAACACCTGTTGAATAGCTACAATGAGAACGATCCAAGGTGATACTTTGCGCGAAGGTCAATGGCACAGGTAACGAAGATACTCGGGATCAAATGCGTTATACAAGTAGCGCTAATATAAATTATTAACATCTAACATAACATCATTAAAAATTAGTGCGTCGTGGGTAGCAATGAAATTTTAAAAAGTATTTAGCTTTTTAGACTTGGTTACTATTTTTTTATTAAATAAAAACAAATAATATTATGCGACATATTCCATAAGTTAAAGTTAAAGCATAAAGTATAAAAAGAAGGAAGGAGCTAGTGGCTTCCTTCGGACATCGAATTAACCATCTCGAATGATGCTAACCGATACCATAGAGAGCACAATAGGTCAGCACAAAGAATGGACTTTTAAAATCACTTTCAACATATTCTCTAACTTATTATTGAACAAAACTGAAAAATAAAAATAACTGAAAATTAAATTCATTAGTAGAGATCTAAATAAATTATCAGTTTCTGAAGCATTGAATATTCATTTAGGCTCTTGTTTATATTTTTTTTACTGGTTTACTGTTGGTTTAATGTATTCCTATTTTATATAATGCAAATTATTTTTAAATCTTCAATAAATGCACGCAAGAGACGTATATAACAAATTTAAACGATTGAAATGTGGTGAACAGATATATATTCGAGAGCGAAGTTTGGAAACCTAACTAAGCAGAACCATAGTTTATGCACGATGTAATTGCGTTTAAGTTGAATAACTGTTAGCTAAGATCCTTTGTACAAGTGTACTAGACCAAAGGTTACCATATAAACTTAGACCTTAGCACCTTAGGCTTTTAGAAAATTAGGACGATAATCCAATAAAACGATGTGGTTGCATTCAAGTTGCAGAACAGTTAGACGAGAGCCTGTGAACAAAACTAGACTTCAATGACCTTTAGATGTTAGTACTTAACAAATTAGGCTTGAAAAAAAGTACGAAGTTAATCCATTAAACATACAAATAACATGAAATGATGATTTTCGCATCGAGAAGCCAACAGAAAAGCACGCAGGCGTAAAACTGCGTTCTAATGGCGAGTTCGCCACAAAAACAAAAGCAATTGATTGACAAACGCCGCGAAGCGTCATCGGCCTATGGGTCGAGTGAACGTGCGTTGTCGCAAGGCCGTCGAGAACCGGTCCACGAGTGGCCGAATGCGAATGGGCTTCGAACGCCGCCAGCCGTGCTTTATTGACCAACATTCGTCGTATAACTAATAGCGCACCTGCGGGGCCTTTGGAAACTCGCTGCGGAAGGTGCCACTCGAGCAACAGCGCAAAGACTATTCTGAGATTACAATTCATATCTAATTATAGATTCGCTCCCTAGTGTTAGTCCCTCTAATACCTATTTTTAGATTACTAATAGCACAAAGTGAATGCCTTGTTAGTGTAAATGCGATCCCAGTACCTACACTGACACAGAATATTGTCTTGCCTATTTTTGTATTAGTTAAAGTGCAAGCAATGCATCCTTGATCTTGTTGAACAGTTTTTGTGGCAGAATCATAATCGTCAGTGTACAGACTAAATTGAGAAAGTAGTCGCAGCTTAGCGTTACTTGACTCATTGTGTGGAAACTTGCCCACAGCTGGACAAGGGCCTTCTTTATGCAGAGTTTGACTGATTCGGATTCATGTAAATATTTTATTTTTATTTTGATACACGTAATAAATCAGAAGTTCAGCACTTTCTTCTTTGTATTTTAATTTAGAAATGAGTGCCAGGACATTAAATTATTACTTACGCTTGACTACTAAGCTTTTCGCTGTTTACTGTGAACTTGAACTTGCTGTTCGGAATTCTGAACGACGATCTACAAGCACCTGTCAACAGGTTTCGGCATCGAAGTCCTTAAGAATACATCGAATGCAATCGCGTTTTTGTGATCGCTTGATTCGTCCAATTAAAATTGCTCTGCAGGGTTCTTCAATAATCATCGTCCTTTTCTCACGAGCTGAAAGCGATTCGTGACTTTAGTTGGTCCGACGCTTCGTGTGTTATTAGTTCCATTATATTCAGTTGTCTGCATTGCTGCAGATTGCGTTCACATAACTACCATAATCTGTTACCTGTAATACCCCATAAAAGAATTTACATTTCAGTTACATTGATGAAGACTAATCTGCACTCGAATTAAAATCTAAAAATACAACCCTGTTCTTGACCCAAGTTCTTCGTGATCGCACAATTTCCAACGAAAGCCACAGGCGTTTATATATTAATACTAAAGCCAAGTCTTGAGAAGATGCTGTAGGGCATACACGCGTAACGTACACGTAGGTGGAACGATCGATGGGTCGCACCGGTCTGCGGTCGACCCACTGCTTCAGTTACCCGGTTGTCGGCCAGCCAACTACCGTTGGACGCGCCGGGGTCCATCTTAATCTCTGCACTTTGCTGCGCGCAATTCAAATGCCACCAGCCGCGTCCAACGTATCCCTGAATAAGGACCTTATCTACACGAGGCTTAGGTACAGATTTCTCTCAGCTCTAGTCAGTAGTTACTAATCGTTTGCTGCCAAGCGAAAGGAATACGAAACACATTTATTGCCCTTGATCTATTCTTACAATTCCTAAAATTCGCTTGGTTAGTGATAACTTACTAGTTGTCACTGCCATGAACATGCAACAACAGAGGAGTTGCAAATGTTTTAAACCTTTAAGAGTATCTTCCTTCGCAATCTATCCAAAGATTATTTGGCTCCCCGGCATAAAAGACGAGAAAGGTTGCCCTAATTAGTAACAAATTACATGGGAAAACAGACGCAATATAATGGCTCATATAACCCACTATCAGACAGTTCCTCATAGACGCGGGCCACTAGAAAACAATGTTGCGAGCTATAATAATAAACCCGATTTGAAACAGTTAAGCGTGTCCGCACAACGGTTTACCATCAAGCGAATGCCGGTAACAGTTCTAACTAGGCTGTCGTCTATCTAATGTATCGATATATTTTTAACTGTAACTCTAATGTATCGATATACTTTACCAGTACTGGGTGAGTAGAAAAAAATAAAACAGCTGCTTTACTTATAAAGTTACGTTGTTCTTTGGGTTTTATTTCTGGGCCAATTTCTTCAAGATGGTAAAGTTAACGTGCGTACGTTTTTTGAAAGTAGATAGTTGTGATTGTAGGAGGATCTGTTTTAATGTTTTTAGTATTTTTTTTTTAATTTCACATGTTTGTAACTTTTAACATGATGAAATTTGAAAAGAAAGCAATTCTTCAACATATTTTAAAGCGATACGATTTAACTTTTTAAGTAAATTTGACATTTGACTAGATAGTTTTCCTGATACAGATAGGCAAGGTATTCGAACTTTAGAATTCTCATCATGATGACGAAACACGAGATCAATTTAAACATAACGTGTACATATGTGATGTGAATAAAAATTACAACCCGACAGGGAAAATATTTTGCCTTATTTATAAAGCTTAACAAAACCTTAGTAACAACAAATATTACTAATATTGCTAATTTTGATTGAGGAGAGGAATATTGTCATTGAAAATTGTGATATCATTAATAATATTCTGTCGGACTCAATCGATCTGCATTGCAGTTTCCTTTTCACCGTTTATCTCTTATCTGGTACGAGTATCGATGGAAAGTGACTGTCGCTATTGAGGTCACAGTACTGTATACTGAAAGTCTATAAAATAAACAAGAGCAATGATCTTGAGTGCGATCGAACGGGTACATCAATTGTGTCATGAACGAATAAACTCGGTGCTGGCAAATTTTGCTTGGACGTAAAATTGTGCCGTGCTGATCGCAGAACGAGTAACGACAAGTTTTACAGCAATCTAATGTCATAAACCGAACATAAACAAGCTCCAATTAAGGAGTAACACGATAGACGAGAGAATAAAACTAAATACATCAACTCTAGAACCATGCTTACTAACATTATAAACGCGAAATTTGTATGTATGGATGGATGTTTGTTACTCTTTCACGCAAATGCTACTGAATGGATTTCAATGAAACTTTACGATAATACAGCTTATACATCAGAATAACACGTAGGCTATAATTTATATACATACTTTTATGTATATCTGTCTTTCTGTCTGAATGTTACGGAGCTCAGCCTAGTCTACGCAGACGTAGTCGCGGGCAACAGCTAGTTCGATATAAATACAGACGAAATTATTGCGACAGCAAAAGTGATGCGAACCATGACATTCAGCAGACAGGACGGCAGCAAGGACGCAATGTTTATCAACACCCAGCCTCGCCTGCGAATCGATAATTCGCGTTCGTGGGCGACAGACCGCGAATCGCGGTACAATGCGAAAATTTCTTGCCCGAGTCATCAATACTGCCATCTTCCGCGTGTCAAAACTTTGTCGGTTGAAACTTGTCGAGACAATTCATCAGTGCAAATGTATCGGCTCGATCCTTGTTGACGTAACAAGTTTGGATATAAATCAATAGTATCTACAGTATTAATTCCATGTGTAAATTGCCACGTGAAACAATAACAGTCTGCTCTAAACCCAGTGATCGCATAAAGTAACGAAGATTCTCATTCGATGTTGTATTGCGATGCGTGACTTGTACGAAAGGACTAGATAATTTTGATTTAAATAAAAGCGAATAGCATTCTTATTTCGCTTTTGCCTATCAAGAGATCAGATTCAGATCAACGAATTAACTGAAAGAG